AAAAACATAACATTACTACGTATGCTTTCATCAATATTACATAAAAAAGTCAATGAATTATTAGTTTAAATATTTTAAATAGCATTTATGCTGGTACGGGTACGGTTTTTGGCCTGTCCCTCACTGTGATTTTTCTTTTTCAGCAGGACTTTTAATTTGCAAAATTAAGGTAAAATGATATAAAATCACATTTGCTTATTGTTCTAAATATAGTCTCATTGTTACGCCATGTTTTTGGCACAAGTATGCATTTTTTCTATAAAAAAAAAAAAAAAATGGGTGTCCCCTGATTTCATGTCAGCCCTGTTACCCTCATCAAAAAAGGGTTTCATCATCTCTCAACCAGGATTCCTACACTTAAAACACAAGCGTGTTTCTCTCTCACTTCTATAATGTTCTATTTTTGATGATTTATGAGGCTTGACTCAGGGGGGCCATCATGCAGTGTCAATACTGTTACCATTTTTAAAATGTAAATTTTAAATGTTACATTTAATATAATCAATATCTACAAGTAAAATCCTTTCAAAGTGTACAGTATGTGCGTTTGTGAACTCGACTATTAGCTAGAAATGAGCAAATTTGTTTGAAATTGTCAAACCTGTTACTGTCAACCTGTCAACCAGGTTTTGACATGTGGGTAACAGGGATGACATTGATTAGGTTTGACCCTTTAAAGATTGTCTGTGTAAAATTCAAACAGTTTAAAGGTCACCCTCGGTATATTATTGAGCTAACGCCTATAGCCTATCATTCAGTGGCATATGAGTTCCAATTAAACTATAGTATCTAGTAACACTTGTGTCGGTAACAGGGTTGACAAAAATACCAAAACATGAGGTAGAAAAATAGTCATAAAATAATAAATTAACCTACATAGCCTGAGATGGCACAATACAATTTCTTGTCATTTTAAGGTGTTTTCATTTCATGGATATTTAAAAAAAAATATTGATTAAACTACATAAAATAATAAATTAACCTACATAGCCTGAGATGGCACAATACAATTTCTTGTCATTTTAAGGTGTCTTCATTTCATGGATATTTAAAAAAATATAGATTAAACTTATTTTATTTTTCACTTTTTCCCAGTGGAAAAGGCACTGATTTTGTGGAATGACCCCATATACTGAGTCACAATTCTTGCTTTTGCCCCACAAAATGAGATTAACAGGCGGTGTGTGGAGCAATTTCAGGGACTTTTTCCTCCCGTTTGAATTTTTTTTTTTTATGTCATGCTACAATCTACATTTGTTAGGAACGGCTGTGCAATATTTCTGCTTTTCTGCAAAATGGCGCTGAATCATAGAGAAGGGCCTGTCTTGGGGAATCATAGGGAAAACTGCTGAGCTAGCTCATGTTTATTAGCCAGCGCATCATCATAACCTCATAACAGAGACATGGCGCCATCTGTTGGTCACTCTGATGCAGTGCAGACAGAGATATTAGCATTTTCCATCGACTGCCAATATAATATCTCTGAAATGTACATATCATCATTATTGCATATATAAAATGGTGCTATTAACGTTATATATTTTTTTATGCGTATGCATCCAGTGACATATTTTAAGGTGTATTTGATCATTTTCAAATTTAGTTACTATTTTTAATATATATTATTTTATTTTATGATCACAGTTGATTTATATAAAAAAAAGACTTAAGAATAAATTGAATATAAAATATAATTATATTTATGTAATTATTATATAATTATTTTTTCATATTTTGCAACCTGTGTATGGGTCAAATAGCTGTTTGGACTCTCATTCTGACGGCACCCATTCACATCCATTGGTGAGCAAGTGATGCAATGCTACATTTCTCCAAATCTGATGAAGAAACAAACTCATCCACATCTTGGATGCCCTGAGAGTGAGCACATTTTCAGCCAATTTTCATTTTTGGGTGAACTATTCTTTTAATTGTGAAATTTAATAGCAATTTCGGTATGAAATTGTTTCTACTCCAAAAATGATTGCAGTGTACAATTCTTGTACAAAGACACATTTTTACTGTGTGAGAAGTGATACATAGAATGATGAGCATGTTTTATACAGTATGTTTATATAAATATCCAAATACTTGTACTGCTGTACATAGAGAGTTAATAAGCAAGCCTGTGCTTCAGACGTTGGGAGGTTTCCAGTTCTCCAGCGCTACGTGACGGGCTCCAGTCCCTCGGCTGGCAGGGCTGTCTGGAGTTTGTCCAGAGGAGAGGACCTCACCTTCACTGCTCTGTTGAAATCTGCCCCATCTCCTCCCACCCACTTGCCCCCTGGGCAATATCAGTGCAAGTCCAAGATTTATGTCTGGAAGATTTCACAACATAAGCCCTGTGTCTTTCCTCAAAGTGCTTTTGCAATGGAAAGAGTTTTTCATTTGGATGAGACGCTGCCGTCTGCCAACCTGCCGGCTTGCCTCATCTCAAGATGTCTTTCATTTTATTAGAAAAAGACTATAAAAACAACATCATAAAACTTGTTAACTGGTTAACTTTTACCAGAAAAAAATAAAATAAAAATCATGTAATTATAAATAGATTTATTTTATTTTATTCACAGATATGTATAGGATTTTATAACCTAAGTAAGTCTATATAATAACATTATAATATTTAATTATATATACGATTATGTTTTGGGGCTACATTTACCTGATCATATGCTACAAATATATTTAGAAAACAAAATTATACATACATACATACATATATATATATATATATACAGATAGCACACGACGTCTGTTAAAGATCATATACATCCTAAACCATAAACATCTTAAAGACATCTAATAAATGTCTATTTGACATCTGATAGGAGATGTGCTATAGACGTATTGCAGATGAGTAAACACTCCAAAAAAATACGTCTTGCAGATGTTAATGCAGACGTCAAATAGACGTCTCCATGATGTACTTGTGCTATCAGGGTGTGTGTGTATATATATATATATATATATATATATATATGCATTATAGAATATAACATGTTCTAATATAAATATATTCTGTAAATGTATTTATTTAAAAAATTATAATTTACAGATATTTACAGATATATGTTATGTTTTATAGGGCTACTGTATAAAATACTAAGAAGTAAAATGGTAATTGTTAAAATGTGCGGGATGTATATATATGTATATATATGACAAACTTACACATAGTCTAGAAAGTTTTATGCATTAAAAATCATGTAATTATAAATAAATATTTTTTTTCTTTTTTAAATTGCAGATACTTACAGATATGTATAGGATTTTAGATAAAAATAGATAACGTAAAAAAAATGAACAAAAACCTCTTTATCATTATCATGTAATCTTATCATATGTAATATGTATAGAGAACAATACATAAAATTTTATTGTAAAATACGGTAAAAATGTATTTAAAAATATTTTTGTTTCTGATAAAATAAATAAAATTACATTATTTATATTAAAAATTATAGATATATTTACAGATGTATATTATAGGATAAGTATAGTATAGAAAATTATAGATATATTTACAGATGTAGCATGTATAGGATTTTAAATCCCAAGTAGATGTGACATTATAGACCTTTCATGGTAAATACAGCAGCAACTGTATATGATCAGGAAAAGTAAAATACTTCACCAAACCCCCCCAAAAAAAGCATTTCCGATTTTCCTTGAAGGTAACTGGTGGATATGTTTCTTGTACCTGTACATGTTGTTCTGGTTGTGAGCATGCAGGTGTCTCTGGGTCAGACTGAGGCTGTGTGATGTGATTCAGTCCTGCTGCAGATCACAGCACTTGTGCCTGTTTTATTGTTTATATCTTTTAGAGCTCAAGCACACAGTGTTCTGTCGGCAGACTCTCTGGACTGCTGTAAGAATACAAAACCGTGCACTTTCTCAACTGCAATCTGCACTGAAATGCATCAAATCACATTTGGACTTTTTACTTCACTGATGTTAAAGCAGTGCAAAACAAACACAGATTTTCTCAGTGTTGCCAAAAGTCTGAGAAAACACCTTCATAATATAATTAATAGAGAACATAAAAACAAGAAACTTATATCAACCAGGTTGTCATTAATTTTGTGTGTGAATCACACAAAGAAATTTGAAAAAAAGATTGTGTGTGTGTGTGTGTGTGTGTGTGTGTGAGAGTGTGTGTGTGTGTGTGTGTGTGCATGAGTCCTGCGTTGGTCCTGAACAGTTCAACTGTCTGCTGTTCTTCAGAAAAATCCCCCAGCTCTGTAATTTAATTAGTTACTTCTGATATAATTACATTGAATATATAAAACAATAGTGAATTTAATATCAAAATTTAACATTTAACATGTTAAAATGTGTTTTCAATGTGTGTGTCCAACCCTGGACCATAAAAGCATTCATAAG